GGGTACTCTATAGCGAGTACAACCCAATTTAGGGTTTCCTATATGTATCCTGCTGCTGCTAGTCCAAATCCATTTTTTCCTGTTCTAATGTTCTAGCTGCTATTCTGACATGCTATCAGAGCAGGTCGACCCTCCCTGGTCGATCCTGTGGGTGGGCCCACCCTATGCTTCTGCTGCTGTCCTGCCTATCGCGCGGCCCGGGCGCGTGACGTTTTCTTCCTGCCGCGCACCCTGCGCGCGTGGCGTTTCTTCTTCTTCTTCTTCTTCTTCTTCTTCTTCTTCTTCTTCTTCTTCTTCTTCTTCTTCTTCTTCTTCTTCTTCTTCTTCTTCTTCTTCTTCTTCTTCTTCTTCTTCTTCTTCTTCTTCTTCTTCTTCTTCTTCTTCTTCTTCTTCTTCTTCTTCTTCTTCTTCTTCTTCTTCTTCTTCCCGCCGCGCGCTCGGGGCGCGCGGCGGTTTTCTGCCCGCCACGCGCCTGCCCGCCGCGCGCCCTGGGAGCGCGCGACGGCTTTGTCGCCCGTCGTGGCGCCCCGGGGGCCCGCGCGTCGCCCCCTTCCGTGGCCCGTCGTGGCGCCCCGGGGGCCCGCGCGTCGCCCCCTCCCGTTGCACGTCGTGGCGCCCCTGGGGCCCGCGCGTCGCCCCCTGCCGTCGCCCGTCGAGGCGCCCCAGGGAGCCGCGCGCCGTCCCGCTTCAGCACGAGCACCGCCCCCGTTGCTGCCCGCGCTCCTGCCCCGTGCTGCTTGTGTTAGGGTTTGGGGGTGGCGAGTCTGGGGGTGTGTGCGCCGTCCCCTGCTCCTCCTCCTCCGTCTCCCACTGCTGCAGCTGCCGCTGAGGGGGGTGGATGTGTGGGAGCCGTCGGAGTGGTACTAGGGGGGTGGCGTGTGAGCAGTGCTAGGGGTATAGCAGGGGGTGTGTGAAAGGGGTGTGTGACAGCTAGGGGAGGTTGAGTGGAGGCAGCCGTCTTGTCGTCCGCAGCGCCTGTAGTCCGGGGCTCTGCCGCTGGTAGCCCAGAGAGCCTGCTGCGCCTGTCGCCCGTGGGTCCGTTGCTCCTGCCGCTCCTCTTAGCCGCGGAGCCTGTTACTCCTGCAGTCCTGGGCTCTGCCGCCGGTAGCCACAGTGCGTGCCGCTCCTGTTGCCCGTGTGTCTGCAGCTTCAGTCGTCGCCTCCCATCTTCTCGCCCCCACCGTCTCTCCTCCTCCTCACTTGCCCTCTGTGATAGCCTCTAGCTTTGCTTATCATTGTGAACTATTGCTCTGTCTGCTTATTGTGCTGATTACACCCCATTTTGGCTATGGGGGTGTGTCAGAATGTTGTATTTGTCTAGCCTGCAGTCGGGTAGTCTATAGCGAGTACATCACAATTTAGGGTTTCGTATATGTATCCAGCTGCTGCTAGTCCAAATCCGTTTTTTCCTGTTCTAACGTTCTAGCTGCTATTCTGACAGCCCTGACATTCCCGAGCACAAAGCCTGTACAACAGCCCTTAGTAAGCACGTTAAAAATTAACTCATGCCTTCGTTCATTGAATTATTTTTTCTTTGATAGTGCAATATTCGTTCGCTCACTCAATTGCACCCGTATCAAAATGAAGTTGTTAAATTGCTATAATGGTTAAGTGATGGGATTTTGGAACGCTGAAAGGTTTAGGGTGTGTTACGAGTGCAATTCAGTGAGCGAACGAGAATTGCACTATCGAAGCAAAAAATACAATGAGCGAAGGCATGAGCGAAGAATATATAGCGAAACTTTAGTGGTAACGGTAATGCGTGAAAATGGGGTGCGCGACGGGCCTGGCGCCGAGGTTGGGAAATGCCGAGGCGGAGGTACGGAGCGCGGGTTACTAACTGAACCGTGAGGTTGGGTCGAGTCGTGAACAGTGGCGAGAACAGTGTCGAGGCGAATGTCGCGAGTGGTAACAGTTTAATGTTGGGTGCTGTTGGCGGGATCAGTGGTGGAGTGGTGTACGCGCTGAGCAGGGACGCTAAGTAAGGAAAAGGAATTTTCCTTACAGGGTGCCACAAGGTTCAGGTCTGAAAGTTAAAAAAGTTGGTGTAACTATCTGAAACTGACGCCATGTCAGATATGGTGCCTTCTGAACCGACTCCAGCCAGACCTCATTGGAGGATGACTGCAGTTTCAGTATGCGAAAAGGGATTCAGAATGGTGGATGCCACATCGACAATGTTTGGATGGGCGTGGACGGAACAGCCAGCCAGAATCAACACCTGCGTCCTGGCAGTCATAGCAATCCTGTCCTGACCAATCTGAATGTGTCGGGTAGGTTCCTGATACCAAGGCTATTTATCAATGAGGTGCACTAGGAGGTTATTTCAGAAAATTATTCAGAAGACATTGCATTTTCAGTATGCTCGAGAAGTTTAGGGTCTACACTTGGGTTCCTATATTTGCGCTCTCGAGTTCCACCAACACGTAAATTCCAACTTTAATACGATTCGCAACCCCAACTTTCACTACACACTCTCAGCGCTTCCACTCTACCACAGACGACAACCAACCGTCCAGCTCGACCGGGACTCAAGATGATCTCAACTCAAGAAACGATTTATCCACTGTACACTTTTGAACTGTAATGGTACAGTTCGCGTACACCCTACGGTTTTCACGGAACCATTTCTGCTGACGATGAGCCAGGTCCAACAACGACGGCTTTGTCACTCTGCAAGATCGATGGAAGGTTCGTTCCTGCAACAATCCCAAGATTCGGGGTGGAGCAACCTTGGGGACTGCGCTGCAGTCATCCACTGTAACTAGCAACCTGTGGGAGGGAGGCACATCATTCGAGCTCCCTTTGCGTTCGGTTAGGAACGATGCTGTACAATCCTGAGCGGTCATTTGTTTGCACCGCTTTGAACCGTTTGATACTCACCAACATCGGTTATTTACGAGCTCTGAACAAATGTGACGCGCCGTGACTGTTGTGGGTGGGTAGACTATCTGTGGGCAAAATTGCGCGACGCGCCAACGCGCAAACTTGTTTTAATCCTACCAACCAGGCTCGCACCGCAGGTAGGGCGACCGAACCCCTCGCAAATGAATTGACCTACATGCGCTTACGCGACATCCACCCCTCGCAAATGAATTGACCTACATACGCTGAATAAAAATTGGTGTTTTCCTAATTGTCACTGTTTCGTTTGGGATAATGTCTGCCAGGTGATTTTCGTGCTTCCGTAAAAAACAAGTTCGCAATTGTGACTACATTGCCTTGACCTTACAAGTTTCGGTTGTTTTGTCTGTTTCTGATGGCGCAAAAAAGTTTCGTGCGCGTGTTACGTTTTTTGTATACATGCTATTTTTTTGCTGCGTGTCAATCGCGAATTTCGGAAACATCTACGCACCTCTGAATCTAAGCAGGGCTGGAAAAAATATACCCCTAAAGGCATGAACGAAATTCGGGAGGCATCAACCCTAAACACGGGAAGCATGGTGCTTAGGGTTAATGCCTTGAATGTGGTGCAATTCGGGAAGGATCAACCCTAAACACGGGAACTTTCCAGGTGTTTAGGGTTGATGCATTGAAAGCGTGCCTGGCTCCCTACGGGGCTTAGTTCGTTTAACACCGTAAACAGAAACAGACCAAACAAAAACAGCATAAGACAAGCCTTGTCTGCGCGACCAGACTGAAGTGAGGGCGTATCTCTGGTTCCGGTCACTTGCACTGTTCATTCAACTGTTTGGGTCATGCGTAAAATGCGCATGACCCGAAGTGGGCTGCCGAGCCGCGCGCGGCCCCAGCTTTGGGTCAATGTGCAGGTGTTGGGCGACTGACGTGCACGACCCTCCCCCAACCAATCACCTGGTTGCACGATTCACGTTAGACTGCCATCTTTTTGGCCGTCGTCAGTCGAGTGCCACAATTTTGCAATGTACCGTATTCTATACCGCTGCACCCAACCACTCGGCAAATTGATCCCTGTGACCCCCGAATGTGTCTTGAATTTCCGCGTCGCGCTCCCAACATTTGGGGATTCATGCCGACATTTTTTACGATTTTGTTTTTAGATGGGTGTCGCATGGTTTAGCGTGGGTGTAGCAAATGATATTTCGAACTGTTCTGGCATCCCTCCATTGGATGTGACTGTTGTTTGGGGCGTAATATTGGCGCGAAAAAGCCTCGGAACAGTGCAAGTGACCGGAACCAGAGATACGCCCTGACATAATATGTCGCAAAATTTGTCTTTGATGAAAGGATCGAAACCCCATGCTGTAATCCCGCGATTCTGGCCGTAAAACCAAATGGCACTTGTAATGTCAACATGAACTTGTCTGCAGCATGAAAATAACGTGGAATCGTTTGTAAGTCGATCTATTTAGACGAGGTTCGGTCGCCCTACCTACGGTGCGAGATTGGTCGATGGGATTGAGAGAAGTTCGCGCGCCAGCGCGTCGCGCAACTGTTTCCTATCTGTGTGTGCAGGGATCGCGGACGCTGCTTCTTCACGCCTCTTGCACTTCTACACGCCTCTTGCACTTCGTCATTTGGCTCCAGTAACAGTCAGCTTTTCCGCTCTTCCGTAGAGTATGCTGTGCCACTAACTAGGCGATAGATGTTATTACCACTAACTGGGCAACAAAATGTCACCTGGTCTCTAGTAGCTACCACTAGCAAGGTTTGTAGCAAGTTCTCTCCTTCGTCCGGACGCATTCGCATGTTGCTGCAGCCAGCTCTCATCTTGGGCCTGTCCCAACAGTACGTATACAGTTCATTCTTCGTGGCTCAAGTCGGTTCCACACGGTGGAAAGCGGTTCTCGAATATCACCGCTTTGTACCGCGACGCACCATATAGACTGCACAGAACGATCAAGAGACGTACTCTTAGGGCACGTCCTTAGGCCATGCCGCTGACTGTGACCTATCAGGCCCCTCCTCCTATCCATAGGAAAAACTCTCCTGGGAGCTGTACCCCGCAAACACTAGCAGGACCCGTCGGGAGCGGAAAACCCAACGGAAATGGCGGCGGGAATGGCGGTGGAAAGCCCGGAATGCCCGGACAAGGACCCACGGTCTTAGGGCTTGTTCAACAGGCGCAGTTCGTGCAGTTCGTGCTTGACCCGTGGACCGCTCGAATATGTGCTGTGAGCGAGGGCGCATGCGATGCGTTAGGTTATGCTCCCGAGGAGCTAGAAGCGCTGACGCTGTGCGGTTTAATTGACGGCTTGCCGTTACCGGAATGGCTGCAGCTGGTTGCCCCCCTCGCGACCGGGGAGCAGCGCGGCGCGAAGCTCGACGCGCTTCTGAGACTAGGAAGAGGAGCAGACGGGACGGGCGGAAGCGCAGGGGAAACGGTTGGGGAAAACGCGGTGGGAAACGAAAATGAGGGTTTCGTTGGGGGGGACCGCATTGGCCGGTCCAGTAGCCGAAGCAGCGGGGGAGGTTCGGAAGCAGCGGGGTTGTCGCTGGCTCGGCGGAAGACTTGGGGAACGGGAGCTGGCGGTGCAGGGCGAGGCGGAAGCGCAGGCGGGGGAGTAAGGGGGGGGGTTTCCGCTGGTGCGGAGGTTTCTGCGCTGCACGCGGGGCTGCGCACGAGCACGTCGGAGGAGGTGCGGTCGTTCTCGTCCACGTCGGACAGCTTCTCGCGGGACGGGTTCGCGCAGAATCAAATATTTTCGGATGACGACGACGACGATGACGATGACGATTATGGCGGGGACGGGATGCTCGGCGCGCAATGGGCGGAAGACGGAGCGGCGAGGCGGAGGAGCAGGCGGAAGCACAGGGAAGGGCGGAAGCGGCTCCAGCAGCAGCAGCGGGAACAGCAGCAGCAGCAGCAGGGGAGGGAGCAGAGACAGGAGCAGGGGAAGCAGTTGGGAAAGGAGCAGTTTGCGAGGGAGCAGCAGGTGGTAACCGCTCTCGGCGAGTCTCGCGAAACGAACAGTGGCGCGTCTGCTGCTGGCGGGAAGCCCGTTCTGTTTTCCATCCTGCTCCAATACTTCGAGACCAACGGGGAGCGCGAGCTTGTAGCAACGGCGCACCCGCTCCCGCAGCAGCGGGGGCAGCAAGGGGAACGGAACGTTGACGATGACGTTCACGCTGACGTTCACGCTGACGTTGACGTTGACGATCCCGCGTCCCCATACCCCAAGTCCTTTTCCCTTACCACTCAGCCACTGACGGGCTCCGGCGGCCCGGGCGCCTTGAGGTGCCTCTTAGTAGGCTCCTTGAACCACGGAAGCGGCTCGGAGCAGCATGACTGGAGCGTCCGCGGCGGGCAGGGCGCAGCGGGGGAGGCTGGCGGGATTGGCGGGAATGGCGGAAGTTGGGATGTTGGCGCGGGCGGAAGCGGGGGTGATTATAGGACGGCGGATAGTGGGGGAGAGTACAAGGGGGAGGGCAATAGAGCAGGCTCGGCGCTTCGGCGGGAAGCTAGTCTAGGGACAGGGATTCGACGAGAGAGCAGCATAGGGGCGGGGCTTCGGCGGGAGAGTAGCGTAGGCTCGGGGCGCTTACCGCCTTTGCATTCCCAGTCAAACGATGGCGAAGCGAGCGTTCCTCCGCATGCGTTTGTGCATGCGCACGCTCTCGAGAACATAGGCAAGGGCCCGAGCGTGAGTGCGAAGGCGAATGTGAGTGCAGCAGTGCAGATTAATCCGCAGCAGGTGGGAAATAGGCCGCGATTAAAGGAGTTTAAGGATAACGAGCTGACGTGGGAAGAGAAGGTGACGTGGCAGATGGGGGAAGGCGCGAGCGGGGAAAGCAGGGGGATAGGTGGCGGCGGCGGAGGGAGCGGGGGGAGCAGGGCGAAGACGGGGAGCAGGGGGAGCAGGGGGAGAAATGGCGGAAGAGGGGGGGGGGGACTGGGGCGCCAGCGTAGCTTAGACGCGAATTTCGTGCAAGAGATAGGTTTCGCGAGTAAAAGTGACTCTGAGGAGGATTTCCCGCTCGGGCGGAGAGGGGGGGCGGAAGGGGAGCGGATGGGGGGAGCGGAACGGTTTGGGGGAAGCGGAACCACGGTTGGAGGGGGAAGAATGGGGGGAGCGGGGGCGGGGGGGAAGACAGTGCGGGGAATGGTGGCTATGTCCCCCGAGAGGAGGTGGTGTGGGACGAGCGGAGGGGGAAAGGGGAAGACAGGGGGGTCGTGGGGCGGAGAGAAAGGGTTTGTGGCGGAAGAAGGGGAATTCGAGGCGGAGGGGGAGGCGAGGGGGGATGGAAGGGGAGAGGTGAGGGGAGAGGGAAGGACGGAGGGGAGGGGGGCGGGGAGGAGACAGGAAAGAGACCAGCTAGACGCTGTTGTTGGTGGTGGTGCTGGTCGTGATAGGGGCGGCGGCGGCGGCGGTGGTGGTGGTGGTGGTGGTAGTGATGATGATGATGAGACTTGTATAGGGCCTACGAGGGCACAGACGTTGGGAAGGCTGTCTGAGAGGAATGGGAGAAGAATGAGATTCAAATCAGGTGAGAACGAAAGAGAGAAAGAGACGGGCGGAGGTGGTTGGAGAGAGGGGAAGGGGGGAAGACTCTGTGGTTACCTCTTTGTCGCTTTGTCTTCAGCATCTTCTTTTATTATCCACCCATTTTCATCCCCCCCCCCAATACCCCATCCAATCCTCCCTCTCCACTCTCTCCCGATTCCCTCCCCCTCCTCTCCCTCTCTCCTCCGCCCCACAATTCTCCCCTTACCTACCCCACAACCCCCCCTCTTCCCCTCCCCGCATTCCCATCCCCTCCTCCCCCCCATCCCCCCCGAGCAGAGGGCGGCGGTTTCACCCACTCATGGCTGGATGACGTGGCGGACTCCCATTGGCTCCCGGACCTGCACGTCCGGGCCCTCCTGGACGAGGCAGGGATAGGCCTGGCGGGGCTCCGCCTGGGCAGTGGCGAGCTGGTTCACTGCAGTGCTGCTCTAGCCGCCATCCTGGGGCGATCAGTCAATGCACTAGAGGGCTCTCCGCTGCAGAACTTCCTCAGCGCCCCTGCCATTCGCAGCTTCCAGGTGGGTGGGTGTCCCAGCTTCCAGGCTGGCAGTGAGGGGCTGGGCTGTGTGGGTCTCCGCCTTGGCAGTGGCGAGCTGGTTCACTGCAGCGCTGCTCTCGCCGCCATGCTGGGGCGATCAGCAAATGCCCTGGAGGGCTCTCCGCTGCAGAACTTCCTCAGCGCCCCTGCCTCTAGAAGTTTCCAGGTGGGTGTGCTGTCTGTCCCGGTTGCTGTGAGTTCCCCTGAATGTAGCTGGGAGGGAGGGAAGGGATAGGTAGGCGTGCCAGGGATATGCCTGGCGGGTCTTCGCCTGGGAAGTGGCGAGCTGGTTCACTGCAGCGTCGCTCTAGCCGCCATGCTGGGGCGATCAGTGAACGCCCTGGAGGGCTCTCCGCTGCAGAACTTCCTCAGCGCCCCTGCCATTAGGAGCTTCCAGGTGGGTCTTCTGTGCCAGTCGCTGTGAGGTGACCTCCCCTGGACCGAGCAGGGAGGGATAGGTAGGCCTGGCAGGGACAGGCCTGGCAGGGATAGGCCTGGCGGGTCTTCGACTAGGCAGTCGCGAGCTGGTTCACTGCAGCGCTGCTCTAGCCGCCATGCTGGGGCGATCAGTCAACGCCCTGGAGGGGTCTCTCTCTTTCTTTCTGGTGCCTAAGGAAGAAATCCTCCCTCCCCTTTCCGTCCCTACGCTCACCCCCTCTCCCCTCCCACTCTCTTCCCCCCTCCCCTCCCCATTCTCCCTCTCCCCTCTCAGACCTGGTTTGGTAGCATGTCAGCAGCGGCCCTTTCTTTGTGGCGCCTCAAAAATTCATTCCCTTCCCTCCTCTCTCTCCCCCCTCCCCCACCACTACCCACCACCCACCTCCACCTTCAGAGCTGGTTTGGCAGCATCTCAGCAGCGACTCTTTCAGCACATGCGCAGCACCTATCACTGCATGCCAAATTAAACTCCCTCTCGCCCTCCCCTTTTCCCTCCCTCCCCCACCTCCCCTGGCCTACCTCCCCTCACCCATTCCCCCCTCCCCCAGAACTGGTTCGGAAGCATCTCAGCAGCGACTCTTTCAGCACACGCGCAGCACCTATCACCTCACGCCACGTGGCACAGACAGTCCCACCATGACCTGCCCGTCATCCTGCCAGGTGGGTCATCTCATCTCTGCTCTGTGCTGGCTCTATCAATCGTTCTGTCTGTGTAGGTGTGTGTGTGTGTGCGTGTTTGAGTGTGTGTGTGTGTGTGTGTCTTGCTTAACTTGAGACACTTATGCCCCTTTTCCCTCTCCTCTCCTATTTTCCCCCCACTCACCTACTTGAGACAGCAGAAGGAATATGCCACGTGGCACCAGCAGAAGGAACATGCCTAACGTCCATCCATCTCCCCTTACAACCCCACAGGAGGCAGCATGCGGTGCATTCGCCTCACATGCCACGTGGCACCAGCAGAAGGAATATGCCACGTGGCACCAGCAGAAGGAATATGCCACGTGGCACCAGCAGAAGGAACATGCCTAACGTCCATCCATCTCCCCTTACAACCCCACAGGAGGCAGCATGCGGTGCATTCGCCTCACATGCCACGTGGCACCAGCAGAAGGAACATGCCACGTGGCACTGGCAGAAGGAACATGCCACGTGGCACCAGCAGAAGGAACATGCCACGTGGCACCAGCAGAAGGAATATGCCACGTGGCACCAGCAGAAGGAACATGCCTAACGTCCATCCATCTCCCCTTACAACCCCACAGGAGGCAGCATGCGGTGCATTCGCCTCACATGCCACGTGGCACCAGCAGAAGGAATATGCCACGTGGCACCAGCAGAAGGAATATGCCACGTGGCACCAGCAGAAGGAACATGCCTAACGTCCATCCATCTCCCCTTACAACCCCACAGGAGGCAGCATGCGGTGCATTCGCCTCACATGCCACGTGGCACCAGCAGAAGGAACATGCCACGTGGCACTGGCAGAAGGAACATGCCACGTGGCACCAGCAGAAGGAACATGCCACGTGGCACCAGCAGAAGGAATATGCCACGTGGCACCAGCAGAAGGAACATGCCTAACGTCCATCCATCTCCCCTTACAACCCCACAGGAGGCAGCATGCGGTGCATTCGCCTCACATGCCACGTGGCACCAGCAGAAGGAACATGCCACGTGGCACTGGCAGAAGGAACATGCCACGTGGCACCAGCAGAAGGAACATGCCACGTGGCACCAGCAGAAGGAATATGCCTAACGTCCATCCATCTCCCCTTACAACCCCACAGGAGGCAGCATGCGGTGCATTCGCCTCACATGCCACGTGGCACCAGCAGAAGGAATATGCCACGTGGCACCAGCAGAAGGAATATGCCACGTGGCACCAGCAGAAGGAACATGCCTAACGTCCATCCATCTCCCCTTACAACCCCACAGGAGGCAGCATGCGGTGCATTCGCCTCACATGCCACGTGGCACCAGCAGAAGGAACATGCCACGTGGCACTGGCAGAAGGAACATGCCACGTGGCACCAGCAGAAGGAACATGCCACGTGGCACCAGCAGAAGGAATATGCCACGTGGCACCAGCAGAAGGAACATGCCTAACGTCCATCCATCTCCCCTTACAACCCCACAGGAGGCAGCATGCGGTGCATTCGCCTCACATGCCACGTGGCACCAGCAGAAGGAATATGCCACGTGGCACCAGCAGAAGGAATATGCCACGTGGCACCAGCAGAAGGAACATGCCTAACGTCCATCCATCTCCCCTTACAACCCCACAGGAGGCAGCATGCGGTGCATTCGCCTCACATGCCACGTGGCACCAGCAGAAGGAACATGCCACGTGGCACTGGCAGAAGGAACATGCCACGTGGCACCAGCAGAAGGAACATGCCACGTGGCACCAGCAGAAGGAATATGCCACGTGGCACCAGCAGAAGGAACATGCCTAACGTCCATCCATCTCCCCTTACAACCCCACAGGAGGCAGCATGCGGTGCATTCGCCTCACATGCCACGTGGCACCAGCAGAAGGAACATGCCACGTGGCACTGGCAGAAGGAACATGCCACGTGGCACCAGCAGAAGGAACATGCCACGTGGCACCAGCAGAAGGAATATGCCACGTGGCACCAGCAGAAGGAACATGCCTAACGTCCATCCATCTCCCCTTACAACCCCACAGGAGGCAGCATGCGGTGCATTCGCCTCACATGCCACGTGGCACCAGCAGAAGAAACATGCCACGTGGCACTGGCAGAAGGAACATGCCACGTGGCACCAGCAGAAGGAACATGCCACGTGGCACCAGCAGAAGGAATATGCCACGTGGCACCAGCAGAAGGAACATGCCTAACGTCCATCCATCTCCCCTTACAACCCCACAGGAGGCAGCATGCGGTGCATTCGCCTCACATGCCACGTGGCACCAGCAGAAGAAACATGCCACGTGGCACTGGCAGAAGGAACATGCCACGTGGCACCAGCAGAAGGAACATGCCACGTGGCACCAGCAGAAGGAATATGCCACGTGGCACCAGCAGAAGGAACATGCCTAACGTCCATCCATCTCCCCTTACAACCCCACAGGAGGCAGCATGCGGTGCATTCGCCTCACATGCCACGTGGCACCAGCAGAAGAAACATGCGACGTGGCACTGGCAGAAGGAACATGCCACGTGGCACCAGCAGAAGGAACATGCCACGTGGCACCAGCAGAAGGAATATGCCACGTGGCACCAGCAGAAGGAACATGCCTAACGTCCATCCATCTCCCCTTACAACCCCACAGGAGGCAGCATGCGGCGCATTCGCCTCACATGCCACGTGGCACCAGCAGCAGATGCTGAGATGGTGCGGGTGGGGTTGAGACGCCCCCTCTTCATGGCACTCTTCAGCGACCTCTGAACCCCCCTCTTTTCTCCCTGAAAACCCCCCCCCCCCCCCCCCCCCCCCCCCCCCCTCCTCCCCCCCTCCCCCTCCTCCCCCCCTCCCCCCTCCTTCTCTTCTCCTGCCCCCAACCATTTTCAGGAGGCAGCATGCGGTGCATTCGCCTCACATGCCACGTGGCACCAGCAGAAGAAACATGCCACGTGGCACTGGCAGAAGGAACATGCCACGTGGCACCAGCAGAAGGAACATGCCACGTGGCACCAGCAGAAGGAATATGCCACGTGGCACCAGCAGAAGGAACATGCCTAACGTCCATCCATCTCCCCTTACAACCCCACAGGAGGCAGCATGCGGTGCATTCGCCTCACATGCCACGTGGCACCAGCAGAAGAAACATGCCACGTGGCACTGGCAGAAGGAACATGCCACGTGGCACCAGCAGAAGGAACATGCCACGTGGCACCAGCAGAAGGAATATGCCACGTGGCACCAGCAGAAGGAACATGCCTAACGTCCATCCATCTCCCCTTACAACCCCACAGGAGGCAGCATGCGGTGCATTCGCCTCACATGCCACGTGGCACCAGCAGAAGAAACATGCCACGTGGCACTGGCAGAAGGAACATGCCACGTGGCACCAGCAGAAGGAACATGCCACGTGGCACCAGCAGAAGGAATATGCCACGTGGCACCAGCAGAAGGAACATGCCTAACGTCCATCCATCTCCCCTTACAACCCCACAGGAGGCAGCATGCGGCGCATTCGCCTCACATGCCACGTGGCACCAGCAGAAGAAACATGCCACGTGGCACTGGCAGAAGGAACATGCCACGTGGCACCAGCAGAAGGAACATGCCACGTGGCACCAGCAGAAGGAATATGCCACGTGGCACCAGCAGAAGGAACATGCCTAACGTCCATCCATCTCCCCTTACAACCCCACAGGAGGCAGCATGCGGTGCATTCGCCTCACATGCCACGTGGCACCAGCAGAAGAAACATGCGACGTGGCACTGGCAGAAGGAACATGCCACGTGGCACCAGCAGAAGGAACATGCCACGTGGCACCAGCAGAAGGAATATGCCACGTGGCACCAGCAGAAGGAACATGCCTAACGTCCATCCATCTCCCCTTACAACCCCACAGGAGGCAGCATGCGGTGCATTCGCCTCACATGCCACGTGGCACCAGCAGAAGAAACATGCCACGTGGCACTGGCAGAAGGAACATGCCACGTGGCACCAGCAGAAGGAACATGCCACGTGGCACCAGCAGAAGGAATATGCCACGTGGCACCAGCAGAAGGAACATGCCTAACGTCCATCCATCTCCCCTTACAACCCCACAGGAGGCAGCATGCGGTGCATTCGCCTCACATGCCACGTGGCACCAGCAGAAGAAACATGCCACGTGGCACTGGCAGAAGGAACATGCCACGTGGCACCAGCAGAAGGAACATGCCACGTGGCACCAGCAGAAGGAATATGCCACGTGGCACCAGCAGAAGGAACATGCCTAACGTCCATCCATCTCCCCTTACAACCCCACAGGAGGCAGCATGCGGCGCATTCGCCTCACATGCCACGTGGCACCAGCAGCAGATGCTGAGATGGTGCGGGTGGGGTTGAGACGCCCCCTCTTCATGGCACTCTTCAGCGACCTCTGAACCCCCCTCTTTTCTCCCTGAAAACCCACCCCCCCCCCCCCCCCCCCCCCCCCCCTCCTCCCCCCCTCCCCCTCCTCCCCCCCTCCCCCCTCCTTCTCTTCTCCTGCCCCCAACCATTTTCAGGAGGCAGCATGCGGCGCATTCGCCTCACATGCCACGTGGCACCAGCAGCAGATGGTGCGGGTGGGGCGTGGGGCGACGATCCCCCCTGCATGTTCATGGCTCTGTTCTCCGACCTCTCTGCTGCTCTGCACGGCTCCAAGGTGAGAGGCCGGCCCCATTCTTTCAGCCTCCAGGCAAGTGGTGCTTGGGGTGGTGCTGGGGTTGTGCTGCTCAGTGCCAGCACCAGATGGGGCGGGTTGGGCGAGGGGCAATGACCCTCCCCTCCCTCCATGTTCATGGCCCCTCCCTCCATGTGCGGGGGCCCAGCACCAGATGGGGCGGGTTGGGGGAGGGGCGATGATCCCCCCTGCATGTTCACGGCACTCTTCAGCGACCTCTCTGCTGCTCTGCACGGCTCCAAGGTGAGAGGGGTGCTGAAACGTAAGTGGTGTAGGAGGTGGGGTGGGGAACAAAGGGGCAAGGATGAATGGAGAGAAGTGAGGAGACAGGAGGGAGGTTGGTGGCTCTCCCTTCCCCTTACTTCCCTCCATGTTCCTGGCTCTCTTCAGCCACCTCTCTGCTGCTCTGCACGGCTCCAAGGTTAGAGGGGTGCAGAGGAATTATATGTGTTAAAGGGGCACATACAATTCCCTTCCTCTTACCCCATCCCACCCACTACTCTACCACACTTACGCGTACTTCACCCCATCCCAACCTGCCCCACCACTTTCCACCCCACCGCTTCCCACCCCACCCCTTCCCACCCCACCGCACAACAGGAGGTGGGGGCCAAGCGGTGTGCGTTCATTCTCCAGCACCTGCCAGCAGGAGTGGCGCACATGCTTCCCTGTCTCTTACCTCGGGTCCCACTTTACCCTACTCCACCACACATAACTGTATTCCACCCCATCCCAATCTTCCCCACCGCTTTGCACCCCACTGCAACCACAGGAGGTGCGGGCCAAGCGGTGTGCTTTCATTCTCCAGCACCTGCCAGCAGGAGTGGCGCACATGCTTCCAGAGGAGCGAACCAGAGGGGGAAGCGGAGGGGGAGGGAGTGGCGGGGGGAGCGGCAACAGCGCCGGCAGTGGTAGGGGCAGCAGAGGGGAGAGGAGCGGCGGTGGCAGCAGCAACGGGGATGAGGTGGTTATTAATCCTCATATGGAGGCTATTACGGGGTATTCACGGGAGGAGCTGAGCTCGGTTGACTCGTGGTTCTCGTGCCTCTTCAGGGAAAGGGCGGAAGAGGTAAGAGAGGGAGGGGGAGTGGGAGAGTGGGATGATAAGTGAAAGGTGAGTGTGAGGTAGCACTGTGAGGGGAAGTGAGGAGGGATTTGAGTACGGTTGACTCGTGGTTCTCGTGCCTCTTCAGGGAAAGGGCGGAAGAGGTAAGAGAGGGAGGGGGAGTGGGAGAGGTGTGAAGGAGGGAGATGGGGATAAGGAGTAAAGGTGATTGTGAGGTAGTTTGTGTGGAGTGTGTAGGAGTTGAGCACGGTGCGTGGACTCTTGGTTCTCGTGCCTCTTCAGGAAAAGGGCGGAAGAGGTGAGGGGGAGGGACACTTAAAGAGTGGGAGAATGGGAAGCAGATGGAGAGTATGAGACGAGTGTGTGTGAGGGAGTGAGGGAGTGAGGGAGTGAGGGAGTGAGGGAGTGAAGGGAGTGAGGGGAGTGAGAAGGAGCTGAGCTCAGCGAGCATCAGATTTCCCGTTTCTCGTGCCCAATTCCCATCGTACTACCACCCCCACCCCCACAGGTGCGCCAAATCCTGGAAGCGGACCGGGCGATGGGGTTGCGAGAGTCGAGAACGTTAAGAATGGTGCGGAGGGATGGCGCGCCGCGGTGGTTAGAGGTGGCGGTGAGGGACTGCGGGGCGGGAGGGGGCGACCTGTGGGTGGTCAGCGACATCACGGACCATCTGATCGTGCGGGAGAAGTTTCGGCTGCTCTATGAAGCCTCGTCGGTGAGTGGTTGGTGAGGTTAGCTTGATTGCTCCCGCTGCCCTTGGGTTTCCCCTCTCCAACCGTCACATTTGGTGACCCCACCCCCATCCTACCTACACCCGCACCTGTGGGTGGTGAGCGACATCACGGACCATCTGATCGTGCGGGAGAAGTTCCGGCTGCTCTATGAAGCCTCCTCCGTGAGTGGCTATTGGGCTTTGCTTGCTAGCTGGCTTGCTTCCCTTTGGTTTGGGGACCTCCCCCTTGCAACCAAACCTGTGGGTGGTGAGCGACATCACGGACCATCTGATCGTTCGGGAGAAGTTTCGGCTGCTTTATGAGGCCTCCTCGGTGAGTGAGTGGGTGGTGGGCTCTGGTTGCTTACTTCTTGCTAATTTCTTTCGACCATTGCGTGCAGTGAGTGAGTGAGTGAGTGAGCGATGACCGCCAACCCATCCCTCTGAATGGTGAATGACGTGACGTGAGTTGAGCAGGTGAGTGGTGAGTGACGTGACGTGCCGCTTGCTTGCCTCCCCGAGTGCACTTTTGAGTCAACTCAAAAGTCACCTCGTTACAATTGCACACGTGCCGCTTGCTTGCCTCCCCGAGTGCAACGATGCAGCGATCGAATTTCTGCGCTGCAATATGCGCTTAATTGTACCCTCCCTCCCTCCTACTTCCCTTCATTCCCGGCCTTCCTCCTTCCCCATCCCCCATCTCCTTCACAGGCATCACGGAGTGCAACGAAGCAAATGCACGCTATCCTCCCCTTCCTTCCTTAAGTCTACCCCCCCTCCTCTTGTTATAGTCACAATAGGCTTGAATGTGCCTAAAACGAAAGATAGAGAGCACAGACGGATTTCTGCACAGCGGCTTCAAACGTTGATAGCGTTCTGCTCACAGCTGCAAATGACTTGATTCAAATTGGATCTGGAGCGTCTTCACGTCGTCTACAATTAGCAATTTAGATTGCACGATTTGATAAAGAATTGACGACACATCGTCGGTTTGAACGAACGGTACTATGGCAGCCACTATACTCTTAGAACACAAGATAGGAAGAGTTACGAGTTGGGAATGACTCCCAGCTCCTACAAACCCCAAGAGCCGAGGTACAGTGATGTGGAACAGTGCCACACTGTCCCCAACCACGAAGGGTCTCGAAACTACCCTTCACTAGGGCCTACACCAAGTGAAATGTTACACTACACAAAGTAATGTAACTATCTTCAATACCTTGAGGTGTACCCTTTTGGCAAGCTTCGAAATCACTTGAGGCTTGACACCAAGGCTCGGGCTCTTCATCACAAACTTATCCTTGAGTTCTTGATGGGTCTGCTGCACACACCTGCGACACGCCGAACGTTCGACACAGGACAAAATAGAAACCGCGCACGACAAAATAGAAACCGCGCGCGAGACACGAACGACCGCGTAACACGCGTCTAGCGATAACTCGCTATTGACTCGACACACACACTCGACATCATGACTCAACATTCACACACAATTATAAGCATGAAATATATATTATCCCATGCCCTCATACCATTCCATACACACACACATTCACGCACACGGACAACAAGCCGAGTGCAAACCGTAGGGTTGCACCAACAAACTCCCCCTCGGATTGTTGGCCTTAGGATATGTTGCTCTCTCAGTTCAGAGCCATCCCAGCCAGCTTGCAACACTTCCAATGCTGCTGCTCCACCAGCCTCTTGGTCATCATGTCAGCCGGCTGCCCCGTGGTCTTCACGTAGCGCAACTCAACTTCACCCGCGGTTACCATGCTCCTCGTCCAATGCCACTTCACCCTCATGTGCTTCGTGAGTCCATGCAACACAGGGTTCTTAGCAAGAGCAATGGCACCCTGGCTGTCACAGTACAGTGGGGTAGGTCCTTGCTGCTCCTCCCCCAATTCAGCCAACAAACGCCGCTGCCACACAATCTCCCGTACGGCACGGAAGAGTGCCATGTACTCGGACTCCACCGAGCTCAAAGCTTGGTCAACCTGCTTCTTGCTCTCCCAAGCAGTTGGGCCTCCACCAACACAGCATATGAAGCCTCCCACACTTGTCATGTCCTCTGGTTCTGATGCATATGAAGCATCCGAGTAGGCGTTGAGGAACAAACGCCCGGGTTCAACACCATCCGCGCCCTTTTGGCGCCTTTGTGCCGCCGCCGAGTATTGCAGCCCAACGGTCGGTGTTTGGCCAAGATACTTGGCCACCCTCATTCCAGCTGCTACCTGCTCCTCATTAGGGCATTGCACAACCCTAGCCAGCTGCCCGGTAGCAAACGCGACGTCCGGTCGGGTGTTTACCGCCGCATACATGAGGCTGCTCACCAACGAGTGAAATCGGCGGCTTTCCTCTTCACCAACGCTCTCCTCCTCTGGTCCAATTCACACACTTGAACCCAGAGGGAAAGGGTGTAGCCACATGGCCTTCACTCTGCCCAAAGTTGGCAGCCAATGCCTCCAGGTACTTTCGTTGATGCACCCGCATGCACCGCTTCTCCACATCTCGTTCGATGTGGAGCCCAAGGTAGAAGCTCACGTCACCAAGGGCCTTGCACTTGAACTTGTCTTGAAGCTTCAGCATCACCTCCTTCACAAGGTCAGAAGAGGGTGAGAAAATGAGGATGTCATCCACATAAACCACCATGAAACTCCTCTGCTCCCCATCGCCAAGCATGAACAAGGAGTGATCGGCCGTTGAGGGAGTGAAGCCGATCCCCTCCAACACTTCGCGCAGCTTCATGTACCATTGCCTAGGGGCCTGCTTCAGCCCATAGAGGGCCTTCTTCAGCTTCCACACTCTGCCACTACCATCATCAAACCCCTCTGGCTGCGCCATAAAAATCTCCTCCTCAAGGATGCCGTTAAGGAATGCCGTTACGATGTCCATTTGCTTTACTACCCATCTTTTGATGGCGGCTCCCGCGAATAGGGTTCGCAGCGTCGTCGGCTTCACCACAGGGGCAAACAGCTCCTTGAAGTCCACCTTCTCCTTCTGCTGGTACCCCTTGGCTACAAGCCTAGACTTGTAGCGCTCGATCTTGCCGTCGGCATCCGACTTGATTTTGAAGAGCCACTTGGACGTTATCGCCGTACGCCCCTCCGGTAGCTCCACCAATTCAAACGTGTCATTCTCCTCGATGCTCTTCAGCTCACTCTCCATTGCCTTCTTCCACTCCTCAGCATCACTACTCTCCAAAGCCTCCTTGAGAGTTGCTGGTTCTCCCGGCATCTCCACCGGAGAGAAGAACGCGAAAGCACACTCCTCGTAGTCACTCTCCTCGTCGTCTCCGACCATCATTGCCGCTCCGGCCAGGGCTGTCTTGCCCTGCTTTCCCGGCGCATCATAGGTCAGCCTATTAGGGGGTTGAACTCTCCTCTTCCCCCTTCCTTCCTCCTCAGCTGCAGGGACTTGAAGGCCTTGGCGTTGCTGCGGTGTGGCTCGAATCCGTGGAGCACTCGTAGTACGGGAAGGGAGTGACGGTGCACGCTCGCTCACTTGCTGCACCTCCTCCTCTTCTTCCTCTGCATCATTGGCCTCCTCTCCCCCATTCACAAGGGAGGATTGCCTTGTGGTTGTGCTGCCGCTGCTCAGCTCCAAAGGCAGCTCCACATGCTCCAAACCGGAACTCTTCACCTCCCCAAACCGCACGCCTATCTTCGCCTCATTCTCCGCCTTCCAATCCTTGTACATGAAGTTCTCCATGAACTTGCAGTCCCTGCTCACCAAGAACTTCTTGGTGAATGGGTCCCAAAGAAGCCATCCCTTGCTGTTTTGAGCCATGCCCAAGTGCACGGCCCACACCGCCTTGGCACCAAGCTTGTTGTGCCGAAGATGCTTAGGCACGAGCGCCATGCACATGCACCCGAACACCCGAAGCATATCCACCTTTGGCTTCCTTCCTAGCCACTCCACATAGGGCACCCATTTGTCTGCTCCCACATGAGTCAAGGCTCTGTTCTTGGCCACACACGCGCTCCGCACCGCATCAGGCTAGAAATAGTCGGGTAGCCCGGCTTCAATGAGCAACCCGCGTGCCGCCTCCGTGATTGTGCGGTTCGCTCGCTCGGCGATGCCGTTCATTGCAGGGGAGTATGGCATGGTGAGGGAGTGCCGAATACCATTCTTCTTCAGCCACAACCCAAACTCCTTGCTCAGGAACTCTCCCCCTCGATCGGTGCGGATTGACTTGACTAGACGGTCTTGTTGCCGCTCCACCATCGGGAACCAATCCGTCTTCAACGTTTCAGCCACGTCGCTCTTCTTAGCCAGCACGTACACCCAAGTCATGCGGGTCTAGACGTCGACAATGGTGAGAAAATACTCAGCTCCAGCAGCTCCAAGCTTCAGGGGGCCCACCACGTCCATCACCACCTCATCAAGCGGTGCCTTTGCCGTTGCCTCCGAACTAGGGAACGGAAACCGGGTGAACTTGGCTTGAATGCACGTCGGGCAGCCAAGCACCTCATCGGGCTCCCCCTTCACACGTATGCCAGCAACCATCTCATTCTTCACTAGCTGCTGCAAGATGGGCAGGGCCACATGCCCCATGCGCCGATGCAAGGTGAGCCAATCACACTCCCCCGTAGCCGAAGTTGGATTGGAGAATGCCGCGCTCGCAATAGCGCCCCACATACTCTCTCCGTAGTCCTCCTCCGCTGCTGCCTCTGGGTTCTCCTCACCCTTTTGCTGCTCCTTGGTTGCTGCACCACTCTCCTTAGGTTCACTGAACTTGCTGGTCCCTCCAGGTTTGCTCTTCTTGAGCTCATTCTCCTTAGCGTGACCGTTCGCGCCATCGTCGCTACCGACCGCTCCATCCTTGGTGCTGATGCTTGCTGCCACTTGCCTCTCCTTAGGCATAGGGACCACTGGGATCTGCCACATCTCGTTGTAGACATCCCTGTCCTCATGAAGGTCCCAAAGAATTCGATCGCCAAGCCTTGCGGTGTAGGTCTTGGCTCCCTTCGAGTTCGTGTCCATGCCGGCCTTTGCCAACCGCCGCACGGAAATCAGGTTTGCAGCAAGGATGGGCACCCAAAGCACGTTCTTGAGGCCCACCATCTTCCCATCAGCACCCTTGAACATGGCCTTGCCCATGCCTTTCACCTCTGCTCGCTGCCCCAAAGCCGATGTGACATGCTTCACCGGTGACGGCTCGAGTTCGGTGAGCAAGTCCGGGCGAGGTGTCATGCTATAGGTAGCGCCACTATCAATCACCCAATAGTCCAGGGGGTGTAGGGTCACCTTCCCCACAGCTGCTGGCTCCTCAAAGCCTTCATCCTTCTCTGGACCAGCCGGTACTTGCGTCGACACGAAGTAGAATAGACCCGGGTATCGATCGTCGCTCGGGTCCTTGTCGTTGTCTCCGCTCTTCATGTTTGCAGCTCCGCCACCGCGACCGCCACGGCCTCCACGGCCTCGTCCTCTCCCTCCTCCTGCTCCTCTACCCTCTTGGCCTTGAGCAGGGGTCCAACCATCAGGGAGTTTGTAGCAGTCGCGCCACATGTGTCCGCTCTTGTGGCAATAGTGACACTCGCCGTCGAATCGGCCGCGACCGCGTCCGTAGATCTTGTCGTCGCTGCCGTAACCGCCACTCCTGCGGCCTCCGTCGAAGTTGCTGCCACCAAACCTTCCTCCCCCTCGTCCTCTGCCTCTTCCTCGACCATATCCACGGCCGATGCTCGCTGCCCCAGCGCCATCCGCACTCGCCAACTCACGGCGGCGGAAATCCTCTTGAAGGATAACTCGCTTCACGTCTTCAAGCGAGAGGCGGGGCAAGTCGCGATTAAGGTTGATGATGAGCGAGGACCATGACTCTGGGAGTAAGGCCAGCAACTTGGTTTTCTTTTGGAGCTCACTGTAGTTCAAATCAGCTCCCTCAAGCCGCGTCAACAAGTCGAAGAATTTCTGCACCCCTTCTTCAACCGCTTCGTCTTCTTCAATTCGTAGTGCCGCCATTTGTCATTCCAACACCACCGCTACCGCCGCTGTTGCAGGAGCATGTACACCCTTGAGAGCAGCCCATGCCTTTGGTCATTTCTCTGGTTCACGCTGGAATGGCTTGATGTGACGGATCTGACTGCTCCCCAACGCTTGCCCAAGTAAGAGATAGCCTTGTGCGCTCTTCCGCACCCATGGGCTCTTCTCCGGGTCGTTCTCGGGGCGCTTCTCCGTTCCTTCCATCACCTCCAGCAGGTCATAGTGGTCAAAGATGTTCTCCATCTTGAAGGACCATTCAGCAAAGTTGTCACCGTTGAACTTGTCAAGCCCAAACACCCTAGGCTCATCCCTAGATGGGCCAAGACTTGGTTGCATGGGCGCCATGGCTGAATCACGGGGTTGGCCTTGAGCTTGAGCTTCTCCACTGTCACCAGCACCTCTGCCACCCCTTTCCTCAGGTCCAGACATTGTCGAACCTGCTCCAAGGGGCTCTGATACCACTTGTTATAGTCACAATAGGCTTGAATGTGCCTAAAACGAAAGATAGAGAGCACAGACGGATTTCTGCACAGCGGCTTCAAACGTTGATAGCGTTCTGCTCACAGCTGCAAATGACTTGATTCAAATTGGATCTGGAGCGTCTTCACGTCGTCTACAATTAGCAATTTAGATTGCACGATTTGATAAAGAATTGACGACACAGCGTCGGTTTGAACGAACGGTACTATGGCAGCCACTATACTCTTAGAACACAAGATAGGAAGAGTTACGAGTTGGGAATGACTCCCAGCTCCTACAAACCCCAAGAGCCGAGGTACAGTGATGTGGAACAGTGCCACACTGTCCCCAACCACGAAGGGTCTCGAAACTACCCTTCACTAGGGCCTACACCAAGTGAAATGTTACACTACACAAAGTAATGTAACTATCTTCAATACCTTGAGGTGTACCCTTTTGGCAAGCTTCGAAATCACTTGAGGCTTGACACCAAGGCTCGGGCTCTTCATCACAAACTTATCCTTGAGTTCTTGATGGGTCTGCTGCACACACCTGCGACACGCCGAACGTTCGACACAGGACAAAATAGAAACCGCGCACGACAAAATAGAAACCGCGCGCGAGACACAAACGACCGCGTAACACGCGTCTAGCGATAACTCGCTATTGACTCGACACACACACTCGACATCATGACTCAACATTCACACACAATTATAAGCATGAAATATATATTATCCCATGCCCTCATACCATTCCATACACACACACATTCACGCACACGGACAACAAGCCGAGTGCAAACCGTAGGGTTGCACCAACACCTCTCCCCCCCACCTGCCCCCAGGACGGCTATCTCGTATTTGACGACACGGGCATCACGGAGTGCAACGATGCCGCCATCCACTGCCTGCGCTGTAGCGACAAGAGCGAGCTCATCGGGCGGCATCCCGCGTACTTTTCCCCCGAGCGCCAGCCGGACGGGCAGCGGTCGGACGAGAAGGCGGTTGAGATGGTGGCCCGGGCGACTGAGACGGGCATGCACAAGTGAGTAGAGGAAAGAGATATGAGCAGTGAGGCATGAGCATTCTTGGATTGAGAGAGCCTTGATGCGCCTCAACACTGTCGGTCGGACGAGAAGGCGGTTGAGATGGTGGCCCGGGCGACTGAGACCGGCATGCACAAGTGAGTAGCGAGAGAGGAGGCATGGCTTTTTCAAGTATCCGGCTCATGAATGAGAGGGCGGTAACACTAGCCGGACAGGCAACGGTCAGACGAGAAGGTTGAGATGGTGGCTTTGGCTACTGAGACAGGCATGCGCAAGTGAGTAGCGAGAACGAGCTGTGAGGTGTGGGTGTGAGACACGAGCTGTGACTGAGGTATGAGCCTGCACAAGTGAGTAGAGCTGTGAGATACCCTCTCTTCTCCTCATTCCCTTGCGTCCTGCTCATACCCCGTGCAGGTTTGAGTGGATGCACATGCGAAAGGACGGTTCCCTCTTCCTGGTAGAAGGGACCCTCAACCCTGGGCCATGGGAGGGTGGGGACCCTCTCATTCCTGCAGCTAGAGCACAACTGTCCCATGCACATGGTCGTCTGGCACGACTTATCCAAAGCTCCCTCTCTCCCTCCCTCCTTCCTTCCCTCCCTCCCCTCCGCCCACCATCCTCCCATGGGCCCTGGTTTGAGTGGATGCACATGCGCAAAGATGGGTCACTATTCCCTGTCGAAGTCACCCTCTCTTTTCTCCAGCTCGAGCACAACCGTCCCATGCACATGGTCGTCTGGCACCACCCCTCCCACCTCAGAGGCGCCTCAAAACTTCCTCACTTCCTCTCACCCGCAAACCCACCCCTCCCCCGTGCGTGCAGGTTTGAGTGGATGCACATGCGCAAGGACGGGTCGCTCTTCCCCGTGGAGGTCACTCTCTCCTTCCTGCAGCTCGAGCACAACCGCCCCATGCACATGGTCGTCTGGCACGACTTATCAGAGATCAAGCGCCAGGCACGGGAGCTGCAGGCAGCGAAAGAGGCGGCGGAGCGGGCGAATCAGGCCAAGAGCCAGTTTCTGGCGAATATGAGCCACGAGATCCGCACGCCCATGAATGGTGAGCCGATTGCTGAGTCGAGTCAACACTTGTCTGACACAGACACTGTATATTGAAGATCAAGCATCAGGCGGCTAAGAGGCAGCAGAGCGGGCGAATCAGGCCAAGAGCCAGTTCCTGGCGAACATGAGCCACGAGATCCGCACCCCCATGAATGGTGAGCCGGAGGCATGTTGAGCGTGTGATGTTTTGAGTCGAATCCAAGAACTTAGCTCTCAGGAGCATAGAGTTCAGCATACACCAGTTGCCACCTCCCTTCCCTTCAACCCCACCGCTCCTCCTTTCCCTACTTCCCCTCTGTCCTCCTCCCCTTCCCCCCACCTCTCCTGCCAGGTGTGATCGGGGTGGCAGAGCTTCTTCTAGGCACGGACCTCACAGCAGAGCAGCGCTCCTACCTCGGGATCATCCGCTCTTCCTGCTCCTATCCCCATCGTGCTGCTCTCTTTCCCCATCCCCACCTCTCCGCCAGGTGTGATCGGGGTGGCAGAGCTGCTACTAGGCACAGACCTGACCGCAGAGCAGCGCTCCTACTTGGAGATCATCCGTTCTTCGGGAGACAATCTCCTGCGAATCATATCCGACGTGCTAGACCTCTCCAAGATCGAGTCCAAGAACCTGGCGCTGGAGAGCATCGAGCTCAACATGCCACCCTAGCCACCTCACATCCCTTCATCCCCTCCCCTCCTCCTTTCCTTCCTTTCTCTCTCCTCCTCCCCCTCCCCCCACCCCTCCTGCTAGGTGTGATCGGGGTGGCAGAGCTCCTCCTGGGCACAGACCTGACCGCAGAGCAGCGCTCCTTGTTGCTTGCCTCCCCACCCACCCACCCTCCACCCCTCCTGCAGGTGTGATCGGGGTGGCAGATCCTCCTGGGAACGGATTTGACAGCGGAACAACGCTCCTACCTGGAAATCATCCGCTCGTCCGGAGACAATCTCCTGCGAATCATATCCGACGTGCTGGACCTCTCCAAGATCGAGTCCAAGAACCTGGCGCTGGAGAGCATCGAGTTCAACATGCACCAGCAGGTTCAAACCTTCCTCTTTTCCTCCCCCCCCCCCCCCCCCCTCTCCCTTTCCCCTTGTGTCCCCCACCCCTCCCCAGGTGTGATCGGAGATGGCAGAGCTCCTCTTGGGAACAGACCTCACAGCAGAGCAACGCTCCTACCTCGAAATCATCTGCTCTTCAGGGGACAACCTCCTGCGAATCATATCCGACGTGCTGGACCTCTCCAAGATCGGATTCAACATGCACCTCCTTGTTCTGCTTGCCTCCCCCATTCCCAGGTGTAATTGGCGTGGCAGAGCTTCTCCTGGGAACGGATTTGACCGCAGAGCAGCGCTCCTACCTCGAGATCATCCGATCATCAGGCGACAATCTCCTGCGAATCATATCCGACGTGCTGGACCTCTCCAAGATCGAGAGCAAGAACCTGGCGCTGGAGAGCATCGAGTTCAACATGCACCAGCAGGTGACGGAGGCTCTGGCACTGCTGGAAGTGGTGGCCAAGGACAAGGGGCTGTTCCTGGAGCTGGATATCCATGAGGAGGTGAGAAACAGTGGTGGCTGTTGGCCGGAACGGGATATCCAAGGAGATTTGAGCTGGAGGGTAGTGAGTCGCACTTGCACATAGAGCATGCAGTTGTTGGGTTCAAGAAACATCGCATGCAACAGCAGCAGGATAGATAGATAGATAGGGGTTTATAGTAGCAGCTGTTTTTGAGTCGACTCAAAAACCGACTCATCACACGCGCACTCGCACATAGAGAGCTGGGCCATAGCATGCAGTTGTTGGGTTCAAGAAACATCGCACGCAACAGCAGCAGGATAGATAGATAGATAGATAGGGGTTTATAGTAGCAGCTGTTCATCGTATCACGTCCTTTACCTTCCCCTCACGTCTCTTCGTTTTCCGCCCATTCTCTCCCCTTCCGTTTCCTGTGCTGTTCCCTCTTGAGACGTCTCAAAAGTCTTTTGAGACGTGTATGGTTTTTGAGAATTCTCAAAAAAGTCTTTTGAGACGTCTCAAAAGTCGTCCTTTACCGTCCCCTCACGTCTCTTTGTTTTCGGCCGTTCTCTCCTGTGCTATTCCATTTCCTGTGCTATTCCCTTTTCCCTCCTGCAGGTGCCAGCGGTGGTGATGGGCGACCCTGTGAGGCTGCGGCAAGTCCTGCTGAACCTCATATTTCGTCCTTTACCCTCTCTTGACTTGTTTAATCCCCTTCCATTCCTTTCCACTCATTCGCCATTCCTGCAGGTGCCAGCGGTGGTGATGGGCGACCCTGTGAGGCTGCGGCAAGTCCTGCTGAACCTCATATTTCGTCCTTTACCCTCTCTTGACTTGTTTAATCCCCTTCCATTCCTTTCCACTCATTCGCCATTCCTGCAGGTGCCAGCGGTGGTGATGGGCGACCCTGTGAGGCTGCGGCAAGTCCTGCTGAACCTCATATTTCGTCCTTTACCCTCTCTTGACTTGTTTAATCCCCTTCCATTCCTTTCCACTCATTCGCCATTCCTGCAGGTGCCAGCGGTGGTGATGGGCGACCCTGTGAGGCTGCGGCAAGTCCTGCTGAACCTCATATTTCGTCCTTTACCCTCTCTTGACTTGTTTAATCCCCTTCCATTCCTTTCCACTCATTCGCCATTCCTGCAGGTGCCAGCGGTGGTGATGGGCGACCCTGTGAGGCTGCGGCAAGTCCTGCTGAACCTCATATTTCGTCCTTTACCCTCTCTTGACTTGTTTAATCCCCTTCCATTCCTTTCCACTCATTCGCCATTCCTGCAGGTGCCAGCGGTGGTGATGGGCGACCCTGTGAGGCTGCGGCAAGTCCTGCTGAACCTCATATTTCGTCCTTTACCCTCTCTTGACTTGTTTAATCCCCTTCCATTCCTTTCCACTCATTCGCCATTCCTGCAGGTGCCAGCGGTGGTGATGGGCGACCCTGTGAGGCTGCGGCAAGTCCTGCTGAACCTGATCTCCAATTCCATCAAGTTTACCGAAATGTGAGTGCGTGAATAAGGACCGAGTGATCAAGGGCTAGTATGTGGGACTCCGCCCACATACTCCTGACTGACTGACCTACCACCGCCGTATCCCGTACTACTACTGACTGAGGGCAAGCACTCCTCAGGTAGGTGGGACACGGCGGCCGGTGCTTCTGAACTGAACCTCATTCGCTTGCTCCTTGTCCTCTCCCTCCTCTCCTCCCCAGTGGCGGCATCACAGTGATTCTGCGCCTGGCCACGCAGGTAGAGCTGGGGGAGGTGGAGGAGGCGAGGAGGGAGAGCAGCAAGTGCATGAGTGTGCAACGGGGGGAAGGCAAGGAGAAGGGGGAGATCAGTGCTGCTGGCAACTTGTTGACCTCTGCTGAGGAAGGAGCAGGAGCAGGAGGAGGTGAGGGAGGGGGAGGAGGAGGAAAGACCGGAAGCGGCGGCAGTGGTGGTTCAGGAGGAAAGGGAGGGAAGGGTGAGAAGGGAGTGGTGAGAAGAAAAGGAGAAGCAGGAGAGTCAGAGGCAGCAGGGAAGCCAGAGGAGACGGTGGTGGTGCGGTTTGAGGTGCGGGACACGGGAGTGGGCATGGACGAAGCAGCAAAAGGGAGGCTGTTCAAGGCGTTCTCCCAGGCTGATAACTCCACGAGCCGCCGCTACGGTGGCACCGGGCTGGGGCTGGCGATTTGCAAGAGCCTGTGCTTCCTCATGGGGGGGGATATCGGCATGCACAGCCAGGTGAGGGGAGGGGGAGGGGTGGGGGAAGGGTAGGGGGAGGGAGAGAGGGAGAAGAAGCTGAGACGGTGGTGGTAGCACTAGTGGGGGGGGATATCGGCATGCACAGCCAGGTGAGGAGTTTTTTATAGAAGGGCGAGAGGGAAGAAAGAGGGAGGAAAGGTGGAGTGGGGATGAGGGGCTGGGACTGGCAATCTGCAAGAGCTTGTGCTTCCTCATAGGGGGAGATCTCGGCATGCACAGCCAGGTGAGGGGGGAGGGGGGAAGAGGGGGGGGGAGAGGGATTGAGAGCATCTGGGTATAGACTCAACAGCCAAGGGGCGGCTGTTCAAGGCGTTCTCCCAGGCGGACAACTCCATGAGCCGTAGATACGGCGGCACGGGGCTGGGACTCGCGATTTGCAAGAGCATGGGGGGGGATATTGTCATGCACAGCCAGGAGAGGGGGGAGGGTGAAGGGGGGAAGAGGGAAAGTGGTAAAAGTGGGAGGGATAAGTGGAGGAGCGGGGGAGTGGTAAAAAGGGGAAGGATACGTGGGGGAGCGGGGGAGTGGTGAAAGGAGGAGGGGTAAGTGGGGGAGCGGGAGAGAGACGGAGAGGGAGGGGGAGGGGAGCGATTTTTGAGTCGACTAAAAAATCGACTCACTACACGAGGGGAGCGGGATCTGGAGTGGACATGCAGGCATACGTGTACCATACCCCTCTCGACTCCCCCCTCCCTTCCTTCCCTTCTCCTCATCCCCCCTATTTACCAGGATGCAGCGGGTGAACCCCAAGGAGAGCACCAAGCCAAGCCAGGCACTATGATCCGCTCCGCACTGCACTGCTCACACATGATCGTTTGTTCCTCCCCTGTTGTCCCCTCCAGGTGGGAGAGGGGTCGACCTTTTTCTTCTACGTGAGGATGCAACGCGTGAACCCCAAGGAGAACCCCAAGCCGGCAGGGGAGAGCGCCACGAGCAGCGACGCAACCCCACAAAAACCCTTTTTTTCTCTTCCAACCCCTCCCTATACCAGGTGGGAGAGGGGTCGACCTTTTTCTTCTACGTGAGAATGCAGCGAGTGAACCCCAAGGAGAACCCCAAGCCGGCAGGGGAGAGCGCCACGAGCAGCGACGCGGAGCCGCTGTGGGTGCAGCTGCAGCACATGCGCGTGCTGGTGGCCGAGGTGAGGGGGGCGTGATTGTATGGTTTGCGAGTGTACTGTAGGGTTGTGGCTGTAAGGGTTGTCGTCACATTACAAGGGGGGCATGTTTGCCGCGAGCAGCGATGCGGAGCCGCTGTGGGTGCAGCTGCAGCACATGCGCGTTCTGGTGGCTGAGGTGAGAGGGGTGTGACTAAGAAGGGTTATGACTGTATAGGGTGTGGTGGATGAGTTGGGTTACATGCATATTTTGTCACATGCAGCTGCAGCACATGCGCATGCTGGTGGCAGCCTGCAGAGGTGAGGGGGAGTGCTGGTGGGTGGGGTGGGGTGGGGTGGGGTTAGAGGTTTGTATGCATTTTTGTGTGATTGCAAAATCGGTTGCCTGTGAAAAAGGACTACCTGGGGCTCAAATACGACGTATTGGAGAATGGCTGGCTGGCTGGCTGGCTGGCTGGCTGGCTGGCTGTGAGAGAGAGACTCCTTCCCTCCCCATCCCCTACTCTCAACTGGTTTGTGGTGAGAAAAGCTCACTCCCACCATCCCCTCCGCTCAACTTCCTGCCCCAACCCCGCTCCAGGACAACAAGGTGAATCAGATGGTGGCGACGCGCATGCTGCACAACCTGGGGCTCAAATACGACGTGGTGGAGAATGGCCGGCTGACTTGCTGTGAGAGAGGCTCACTTCCCTTTTCCCGCAAACCACCCATTCCCTTCCCCCATTCCCCATCCGCGCACCCCCCCTCACTTCCCCTAACCCCCCCAGGATAGTAAGGTGAATCAGATGGTAGCGACGCGAATGCTGCACAACCTGGGCTCAAATACGACGTGGTGGAGAATGGGAGACTTGCTGTGAGAGACTCATTCCCTCGCAACCCACCTCTCCACCCATCCCCTCAACTCACCTCCCAATTCACTGCAGGACAACAAAGTGAACCAGATGGTGGCGACGCGCATGCTGCACAACCTGGGGCTCAAATACGACGTGGTGGAGAATGGGAGACTTGCAGTGCAGGCATGTGCGGACAGACACTACGACGTGGTGCTCATGGTGGGTGGAGGTGGTGAGTGGGGTGGGGGGGGGTGACTTTTGAGTCGACTCAAAAGTCACTACGACGTGGTGCTCATGGTGGGTGGAGGTGGTGAGTGGGGTGGGGGGGGGTGACTTTTGAGTCGACTCAAAAGTCACTACGACGTGGTGCTCATGGTGGGTGGAGGTGGTGAGTGGGGTGGGGGGGGGTGACTTTTGAGTCGACTCAAAAGTCACTACGACGTGGTGCTCATGGTGGGTGGAGGTGGTGAGTGGGGTGGGGGGGGGTGACTTTTGAGTCGACTCAAAAGTCACTACGACGTGGTGCTCATGGTGGGTGGAGGTGGTGAGTGGGGTGGGGGGGTTTGGTGATGGGGGAGTGATTGTAGCAAGTGCCCGTGGAATGGGAGGGGAATGGCCGGCTGGCCGTGCAGGCGAGTGATTGCTGCTGCTGCGGCTGATTCCTTTCTATCATTGCCCCCCACCTCTCTTCCAGGACTGCCACATGCCTGAGATGGCCGGTTATGAAGCCACCCGCAACATACGAGCTATGGAAGAGGAGAGACTTGCTGCCCTTGCTGCTGCTGCTTCTGCTGCTGGTGCTGGTGCTGCTGCCATTGCTGCTGCTGCGGCTAATTCCTTTCTATCAATGCCCCTCTCCCCCCTCTCCCAGGACTGCCACATGCCTGAGATGGACGGGTATGAAGCCACCCGCAACATACGAGCTATGGAAGAGGAGAGACTCGCTGCCTATGCTGCTGCCGGTGGTGGCAGGGGCAGCAGCGGTGGTGGTGGGTATGGGAGGAGTGGCAGCAGGGGGGGTTACGGTAGCAGCACAGACGGTGATATGAGCGAAGCAAGTTCTCCCAGTCATCCCCACAGCAGCAGCAGCTCTCGCACCCGCCGCTCCCACCGGCCGCGCCGGACGTTCATTGTGGCGCTTACCGCATCGGCTCTTAGCGAGGATAAAGACTCGTGCATGGCTGCTGGGATGGACCATTACTTAGCTAAGCCCATCCGGCCGCGGGACCTAGAGAGAGTGATAAGAGAGGGGATGGTGAAGAGGAGGAGAGAGTCGATTAGTGAGGAGGTGGGGGCAGCTTTTTCTGAGAAGGGGTGTGAGGGGAGTGAGGGGTCTTTGTCCCCTCAGATGGCTTATAAAGGGGATGAGGGCCCGGTGTCTCCTCTTTATAAGGGTTCTGAGAGGGGTGGAAGGGCGGTATCCCCTTATAGGGGGTATGATGGAGGGGAGAGGCCTCTGTCTCCTCTGACGTTTAAGCAGCGGCAGGAGCGGGGAGTGCAGGAGCGAGCAGTACAGCAGCGGCCACAGCAGCAGCAGCAACAGGAGCAGAGGGGTCAGCAGAGAAGGGATGAGGGGAGAGGGAGTGGGGGGAGAGGAGCAGGGAAGTGTCCTATCAGGGGAGGGATGGCAGGTGGGGAGG